TGATTATCTATTTGTTGTTATGTGTTTTATCTGTTGCATATGTCGACATAGTGCGGTTGGGTTGAGGCAGTACTGCTCTGTGCGGAAGCCAAGAAACCTAGGAGCAAGCTATAAATAAGCTGTAGGCCGAAAGGCAATCCAGGCGTATGTTGTGGGTTCGGAAGCAATCATGACATGAGTTCTGGGCCATGTGGGCAAACCAGACTCATGCTGTTCGCTCAGGGGTAATCCAGTCTGATGACTGTGGGCCAGTGTGCATGCTGCTATATGTTATGTGGTTGTATTTTAGGGAACTCACTAAGCTTTGGCTTATGTTTGAATTTTATGGTTTCGAGTACTTCAGAGGACAAGGGAAAGGCGAAGTCTTGATCATGCACATCATGCATGATTTTATGTGTTTGGATGATTTTGGGATACTCTGATTCATGATAATGATTTTTGGGAACTTGTTTTGTAAACTTATGGTATTTGGGATGTTTTTTAAAAATGAAAATTTTGCCTTGATTTTTGGTATGTTAGACATATGATGTCTACAGCTAAGGTGATCTGCCTACTTAGATGTCTTATACAAAGGTTTAAAGAAAGAAATAGAGACCTCCATATGGTGTTTATTGACCTGAAAAAATACATATGATTGTGTTCCAAAGGACAAGGAGCTGAAGGACTTTGGATGCTAGAAGAGTCTTGGGTGTTGTGTAGGGGCTATTCACGATATTTAATTGTTGATTGGAAGAAGTATTATATTCTTTAACTCTTTGTATTTTATGGTGATATAAATCAAAATATTGTGTTTCTTATTATAAACTTTGTTTATGATGCTCGAAGAACTTGTTAAGTTTTGGTAAAATAAGTATTAGCATCTTCCCCCAAGGTTCATTTACACACCCTAAGAGAGTATGGGCTGATTATTATAGATAGGTATGCAATTGCCTTTAGTCTCATCTCGGTTCTTCAGTTGTTATATGTATGTGTACACCTTGGTGTAGTGGCAGATCCATGATCTGGATATAGGTTGGGATACGAAAAAAATTATAATTCTATTACATAACATACTATAATTGTCCTCTAAGAGTTTTTATTTTTTAGAAACAATCGAATATAACTTCATTTGTAGCCTTTTATAGTTTTTCTTTTTTCGATAACGCAAATTAGAGAAGCATTCAAAAAATGATCATCGAACTCATTCACAAATTTTATTGCCCAAAAACATATCTCAACAGTCACTTATGTAATAGGGAAACACCAATGCCAATCTCAATAGTTGATACACCAAGTATAAGAAACACATTTTCTTTTGTTCACCATGATCGATGTTCGATGATTCCATTCAAGTCAGAAAACCAAACATATTCTTGTACAATATTATAATAGAAGTCTTCATTAGATCTACATACTCTACGGTCTTGAACTGTTTCTCTGATTGTGATTGGATTAAATCAGCTTTGATATTTCTAGGGCTAGCTACGCATGACTATAATTCCTCATAATATTACATAGTAAGAGAGTTTGGTTCTTCTCATTTGTTATACGTTTTTCCCATTAAATGATTCCATTAGCAAATATACATTTGTAAGAATCTGATATTTAATGTTGTCTTTTATTAAAAGCAAGAAAGTTTATGTATCTTGACCACATTGTGAAGTATCTTTTAAAGAACCTGTTCTAAATGGGAATACTCCTTTAAAAAATTAATGTTCCCTTTTATCCAATCTATCAAGACTCCGTTGTGGCTTTTGATATCATTTTATGGTTTTCCGTAATGCTATAAATTAGTGTAAACTGTTTTAATGTTTTTAAGGATAATCACCCAAATTTACCATAATAGATAAAGAATATAATAAAATGACCACCATTTAATCAAGTATTACTTGTAATATATTCATCAATATAAAGTGTATTACTTGTAATATATTCATCAAATATGACAAAAGCTAGCAATATGAATCACCTTATATCTACTAAGTCATTACTCAAAAACGCTTACATAAAAACACTTTACTGATTTGTTATTTATTTATTTATTTTAAAATTCATTTTTTGTGAGATAACATCATTATCTTTTACTGGTGAACATTATTTTGCAAAATATTCATCACTTCCCAAGACGACGATGTCGTTTTACAAAAAGAAAAAACAAACAAATTTCACAAGAAAAATAGTTTAATTTTTTAGAGCCGTTTTATACAATTTGTCATCTTAAGTTCATTTTGGGCACCAATATGACAAACTACAGTCTAGTCTTTTCAACCGGTTACCCCCTTGGCAAGCAGACACCACATCCAGTGTGGCCAGCTGATAAAGCTATAACAGGTCATAACGGTAGCTATTAAGCAAGAAAGATGAGTCTGAAAAAAAAACTTTATTAAGCTAGGGTGGAAAATCCATAGCATTAGCACTGTGAATCACCTTATATCTACTAAGTCATTACTCAAAAACGCTTACATAAAAACACTTTACTGATTTGTTATTTATTTATTTATTTTAAAATTCATTTTTTGTGAGATAACATCATTATCTTTTACTGGTGAACATTATTTGCAAATATTCATCACTTCCCAAGACGACGATGTCGTTTTACAAAAAGAAAAAACAAACAAATTCACAAGAAAATAGTTTAATTTTTTAGAGCGGTTTTATACAATTTGTCATCTTAAGTTCATTTTGGGCACCAATATGACAAACTACAGTCTAGTCTTTTCAACCGGTTACCCCCTTGGCAAGCAGACACCACATCCAGGGTGGCCAGCTGATAAAGCTATAACAGGTCATAACGGTAGCTATTAAGCAAGAAAAGTGAGTCCGAAAAAAAAACTTTATTGAGCTAGGGGGAAAATCCATAGCATTAGCCTGTCTAAAATACCACCATCAACTGTTACTTTTATGTGACAAATCCATTGTGCAACATTTAAAACTGCCTAAATATGCATATGATTTAAAGACATATTGATATTAAGCACTCTTTTTAGAGGAGTGGTTTCCTTTCGAATGGTTGGTTGTTGTTGTTGTTGTTGTTTCTGTTGAATCTGTTGAAGACTCTGTACGCGGTGCGTACTTCTCATTCCAATACCCAAGAGGATCCTGATAAGATCTAATCACATCCTCGCTGAGAAAAAAATAAAAAATATGTGAGAAAATGTAAGTACTTCTGAGACTTCTTATTAAATCGTTCTTTCTGTATTAAGTCAGAAAGAAACGACCATATATAGCTTACCAGATTAAGTCAAAAAGAAAAAACACTTTAGTGAATGATGTTGCGATCGCAATTGCAAAACATAAAACTTGTTACTTGTGGATTTAATAAAATTATTTACCTGCTTGCCCTAATAGTCATTCCGTCAATCGTCTTCTCTTCAAAAATTTTACCTGCATTAAAATTTTATCATTTTACAATCCAATTATATTATATGGTCAGTAGACACAATTATCTTTATTTAATGCCCTCATAATCATGAACTTATCACTAGTATATTATACTAGGTGATTTAGGTATAAAAAAGATGAAAGATAATCATAATCGTTTTATTATTTTAATCACAATGTTTACTTGTGCATTTGACGTGAATGTAATTTTGGGTTAACTGAATTAAAGAGGGGTTGCTCAGCCAACTCCATCCAGCATATTGCCCAAAAGGAAAGCAAATAACATCAAAGTCATAAACAAATATTGTTGCAAATTTCAGGACCACAATATAATCAGATTACAATAAACATCATATTTCTCAATTTGCCAACAAAATTTAGCAAAAATCCACCAAAAGCAAAGTCTGTTTACTATTTTCACTTTGACAAAACAAACATTGGAGATAATGAAGCTCCATTTTATTCCATATCCAATTCACTTTCTATTCATGCAGATGAAAAAATATATAATCCAGTCTATGAAATGAGAAAAAAAAAATCATACATAAAGTTTGTGTGAGTCAATTAGATTGCAATGAAATCAGAAGTTCTGAATTTTACCTCCATAGATATCTTTATCCGAGAAGTACTTTGTTTTCAAGTAATTGGCGTATTCAGCTTCAATGTTCTTCAGTCTCTCTCTTTGCTCCTTGCTATCCATGTCTCTATCACACAACGCACTGAGTTTGTAAACTTCATATAAAATCTGATAATTACTCACTTTCTCATCACCATGAGTATTAAAAAAATATTGTCACAAAACCCTAATTCCTCCATTTTTTAGCAAAAAAAACATCGAAATGGTGCGGAACAATCTAGGTAACTTCACACATCGATGAAACATTACACCAAATTGATTTGAAAAAAAAAAAAAAAAAAATCGGATCTAAGGTAGGAAGAGATCCAACAAAGCGAGCGAGAGAGAGTCGCGTCTTTGCCACCGAAATATAGACGGAAAATTGCATGTGGGTCTTGGGGTTGGGGCTATTTATAGTCCCGTGACCATGAAATACTGTCAATGTGAAAAAAATAAAATAAAGACAAAATTTTACAATTGCTACTCATGGAATCGATTTTATTTCAAAATATTTTTATTGAAATATATTTTGTATAAATGGTTTTTTTTACAAAATATTGTTTAGTACTAGTCTTTCTGATTAATGTCCGTTATATGAAGCCGTTAAGTTGAAGGAGTTTTGGATAAATACAATTTCTGACGTTTTATGAAACTTCTACTAAGGATCATTTTGTGAATTTCGTACCATTTGTCAACTTTATTAAATCTTGGAGAAAATGACTAATCTAGTCGATTTCATAATGAGTTCTCACTTTTTAGCCAAAAATTAAGAAATGGCCCATAATAGCCATCAAAACCTTAGGTTTTAACAATAATCTATCTTTCACAGGGAAACTACGGTTTGGAGCTTGTATACTTATGGAAAAAAATTCTTTCAAAATTCATTAAGAAACCGTAGGTTTTCTAAAAGGGAAATATATCATATTAGCCCAATGAACTTTTCGTGTTTGTTTTAAAATAGGTTAATGCTATAAGTATCTCCATTCTTTTCCAATTTTACCCCGTCTGATGTGGCTTTTTTTGTCTTGTGTAGTTTTTTTTTATTTTGTTTTATTTTGTTGTTTTTAATTCTTTTTTATTTATTATTATTATTATTATTATTATTATTATTATTATTATTATTATAAATTTCGATGACCATATAAAATTCGGAAAGCATTTTAAAATTCATATGAAATTTTAAAATTCGGACGGCATCATAAATTTGGACGATATAATAAAATTCGAATGACTATATAACACGGAACAAAAGCAAAGTTTGTCTTTAATTATCACAGATAGATTAATGATTCGGTATTACATTTGCGTGGTGTGTTATGCGGATTGAAAGCAAACTTTACTTTTGTTCCATTTTATATAGTCGTTCGATTTTATAATGTCGTCCGAATTTATAATGTTTTCCGAATTTTAAAATGTTGTCCGAATTTTATATGGTTATCGAACTTTATAATAATAATAATAATAATAAAATATAAAAGAAAAAAGAAAAAAATGATGTCAAATCAAAAGTAAAAGGTTGATTAGATTGATGTTAGGGGGGGGGGGGGGGGGGGTAAAATTGGTTAAGGTGGGTAGTTATAGCACAACCCTTAAAATATCACTTATCTATTTATTTTTGTATTTTAAGGGCTTAAACTCAATTTTTTGGGTTAAAATAGTCCTTTTTGAAAAACTAAAGGGGTAAGCCGGTTACCCCTTAGATTTGTTAACAGAGGGCCATGTTTCTCTATTAATGATCTTGAAAAAGCACCTTAATATGAACCTTTCTTCATCTCCAACCCTAAAAACCTGCAACAAGATTTCCAACACAACCCGATATCATAAACAACAATAAACAAGAAAATCCTAAAAGGGTACCCCTTACATTTCTATCAACAGACAAAATCATCCCCAAAATTCAAATTCTCAGTTCTCAATTCCACATTCTGGTGTGAGTCAAACACAAAAGTCAACTATCAGCTACCGATTCAATAGAAGAAGCAAACCTTGATTCATTTCCTTTTGAGGCTGCAATTGTTTCCATTCGCATCCATGTTGACTCACGTTTCTGATTGTTTTCCTTTTGTTTCGATTTTTTTTTCAAAACATTTTTATTGAAAAGTATTTGGTATAAATGTTTTTTTTACGAAATATTGTTTAGTAGTAGTCTTTCTGATTAATATCCATTATATGAAGCTGTTAAGTTGAAGGAGTTTTGGATAAAGACAATTTCTGACGTTTTATGAAACTTCTACTAAGGATCGTTCGTGAAATTTCGCCTAAGGACCATTTGTCAACTTTATTAAATCTTGGAGAAAATGACTAATGTAGCAGATTTCATAATGAGTTCTCACTTTTTAGCCAAAAATTAAGAAATAGCCAACAATAGCCATCAAAACAATAGGTTTTAAAAATCATCTATCTTTCACCGGAAACCTACGGTTTGGAGCTTGTATACTTAGGGAACAAAATTTCTTTCAAAATTCATTACGAAACAGTAGGATTTCTAAAAGGGAAAATATCATATTAGCCTAACAAACATTTCGTGTTTGTTTTAAACTATGACTTATCTTTTTTTTTTTGGTATTTTATGGGCTTAAACTTCGATTTTTTGGGTTAAAATAGTCATTTTTGAAAAACTGAAGGGTAAGCCGATTACCCCTTAGATTTGTCAACAGAGAGCCACATTTCTCTTTTCATGCTCTTGAAAAAGCAACTTAATATCAACATTTCTTCATCTCCAACCCTTAAAACCTACAACAAGATTTCCAACACAACCCAATAGCATAAACAACAATAAAGAAGAAAATCCTAAACGGGTACCCCCTACATTTCTATCAACAAACAAAATCATCCCCAAAATTCTAATTCTCAATTCTCAATTCCAAATTTAGGTGAGAATCAAACACAAAAGTCGACCATCAGCTATCGATTCAACAGAAGAAGCAAACCTTTATTCATTTCCATTTAAGGCTGCAATTGTTTCCATTCGCATCCATGTTGACTCACATTTCTGATTGTTTTCCTGTGTTTGACTTCATCTTCTTGATATCTATTTACACATCCATCTGTTTGATCACAATCACTACTAAGCCACAAATCGGAATCACCATCTTTACCTTCTTCGCCCTTATTTACCGGTGAAGAAGGAGAACACACTGGGGTTTAAAGAAGGTTTAAAGAGGCATCTGAAGGTTTTAAAGAATGATTTTTCACTCGATTCCATGGATTTGGTTTCATGTCTGTTTTTGGATGCCGATGTCGATGTCTATTTTGGGAATCGATTTCTCCAACGTCTTTCTTCACCGGTATGTCGTGAATTACATTTCTTTCCCTGTGTATGTGTCACACCCCTGACCAAGGCGGAACACGCCGGATTATACGACTAAGTTCATGGAGATCTCATGTATAGCACAAGTATAAAAGTAAACAAAATAGCATTCATATTCCATCTTGATATTTGAATACAAGGTTCTTACAGATAATAATAGTACGTAGATTGCCTTAACAGATAGACAGATAATACAACAGCTAGTAACTAATTATCTCTTACTGGTGAACATCATTTTGCAAAATAGTTGTCACTTCCCAAGATGACGATGACGTTTTACCAAAAGAAAAAAAAATTCCCAAGAAAAATTGTTTAAGTTTTTTTTAGTGCCAATTTACACGATTTGTCATCTTAAGTTCATTTTGGACACCAATATGACATGCTACAGTCTAGTCTTTTCAATCGGTTACCCCTTGGCAAGCAGACACCACATCCAACGTGACCAGCTGAAAAGGCTATAACATGGTCATAATGGTAGCTATTAATCTAGAAAAGTGAGTCTGAAAAAAAAAACTTTAGTGAGCTAGGATGGAAAATCCATAGCATTAGCCTGTCTAAAATACGACCATCAACTTTTACTTTTATCTAACAATTCCATTGTGCAACATTAAAAACTTCCTAAATATGCATATGATTTAAAGACATATGGATATTAAGCACTCTTTTTTAGAGGAGTGGTTCCTTTCGAAGGGTTGGTTGTTGTTGTTTCGGTTGAAGGCTGTAAGGCTCTGTAAATGGTGCGTACTTCTCATTCCAATACCCAACAAGATCCTCATAAGATCTAGTCCCAGCCTCACCGAGAAAAAAATAAATAATATGTGAGAAAATGAAAGTACTTCTCAGACTTTCTTTATTAAATCGTTCTTTCTGTATTAAGTCAGAAATAAAAGCCCATTGTAGCTTACCAGATTAAGTCAAAAAGAAAAAAAGAAAAAACATTGTAGTGAATGATATAGCGATTGCAATTGCAATACATAAAACTTATTACTTGTGGACTTAATAAAAATATATACCTGCTTACCCTGATAGTCATTCTGTCTATTGTCTTCTCTTCAAAAAATTTACCTGCATTAAAATTTTATCATTTTACAATCCAATTATATTATATGGTTAGTAGAAACAATTATCTTTATTTAATGCCCTCATAATTATGAACTTATCACTAGTATTATACTAGGTGATTTAGGTATAAAAAAGATGAAAGATAATCATAATCGTTTTAATTATTTTAATCACAATGTTTACTTGTGCATTTGATGTGAATGTAATTTTGGGTTAACTGAATTAAAGAGGGGTTGCTCAGACAACTCCATCCATCATATTGCCCAAAAGGAAAGCAAATAACATCATAGGGTTAAACAAATGTTGCAAATTTCAGGACCAATATATAATTAGATTACAATAAACATCATATTTTTCAATTTGTCAACAAAATTTAGCAAAAATCCACCAAAAACAAAGTCTGTTTAGTATTTTCGCTTTGACAAAACAAACATTGGAGATAATGAAGCTCCATTTTATTCCAAATCCAATTCACTTTCTATTCAAGCAAATGAAGAAATCTATAATCCAGTCTATGAAATGAGAAAAAGAAAAGACTGCAGTGAAATCTGAAGTTCTGAAATTTACCTACATAGATATCTTTATCCGAGAAGTACTTAGCTTTCAAGTAATTTGCGTATTCAGCTTCATAGTTCTTCAATCTCTCACTTTGCTCCTTGTTATCCATGTCTCTATCACACAACACACTTTGAGTTTGTAAAGGTCATATAAAATCGGATAATTCCTCCAATTTTTAACAAAAAACCATCGAAATGGTGCGGAACAATCTAGGTAACTTCACAGAACGATAAAAGTCATAAAACATTACACCAACTTGATTTAAAAAAGAAAAAAAAGAAAAAACGGATCTATGCAAACACATTGCAGACAAACTACAAGATAGAATCGATTAAGGTATCTTAAAATATGGCGATAGATACCTGAAGAGTAAGAGTAGGAAGAGATCCAACAAAGCGAGCGAGAGAGAGTCGCGTCTTTGCCACCAAAATATAGACGGAAAATTGCATGTGGGTCTTTGGGGTTGGGGCTATTTATAGTCCTTGACCATGAAATTACTATATCAGTGTAAAAAAAGTAAAATAAAGACAATATTCCACAATTGATACTTATCGTTTCGATTTTGTTTTCGAAATAGTTTTATTGAATTTATTTTAACAATTGGTTTTCTTGTACTAAATATTGTTTAATAGTAGTCTTTCTGATGTATGTCTCTTATATGAAGCCGTTAAATCGAAGGAGTTTGGATGACAATTTCTGACGTTTTGTGTACGACCATTTGTGAACTTTAGAAGTAGTCTATTAAATCTTGGAGAAAATGACTAATCTAACTAATTTTCATAATAACTTCTTACTTTTTAGCCAAAAATTAAGAAATAGGTCTATTTAAAAAACCATCTATTCTTTCACAGGAAACATATGGTTTGAGGCTCAGGATTTTTTTTTTCAAATTTCATTACGAAATAGTAGGTTTTCCAAAACCTACGGTTTCCTCTGAGCGGTATGCCAAAGAGTAGGTTTTGACTAAAAACCCATGGTTTTACCAAAAATAAGAAAATGAATAAAAAATTAAATTTATTTTTTATTTTTGGTAAAACCGTAGGTTTCTCGAAACTTACTCTTTGGAAAACCTACTATTTCGTAATGAAATTAAAAAAAAATCATTAATTATACAAGCCCCAAACCAGGTTTCCGGTGAAAGAGTAGACATTTTTTAAAACCTACGGTTTTGATGACTATTATGGGTTATTTCTTAATTTTTGGCTTAAAAGTAAGAAGTAATTAAAAAAATTGGCTAGATTAGACATTTTCTCTAAATCCTGTATTAATTACCATAAATCAAATAGAAAAGAAAAAAAAACTAAAACAAAGAAAATGTAATATTTATATAAATAAAAAAAAAAACTTACTAATTTTAATCATCATGTAAATACATTTTATTTAATATATAAATAATTTTTGTTGTCTAAAATTTATCTAAAATATTGAAACTACAATACACCATTAAATATTTTAGTTTTCTATTTTTTTTTTACTAAAACATTTTGTAGTATAGAACCATCATGTTATTACGTTTTTATTTTTACGTGATGTAAGCAGTTTATTTAGACTAGTATTTATACAAAATGATTTCATTAGTTGAGAGATGTTGAGTTGTATTATATTATGAGTGAGAGAGTTTCTGTAGAGAGATCTGAGAGTTCTTGGAGAGGATTCAAAAAATGTGTTATTTCTGAATCGTTGTGCTTAAACGTAAAATCCAACAAATGAAATTAAGTTTTGTTTATTGAATACTTGTGTTATTATTCCGCGTTTGTATTAGATTCATACACGAGTGTTCGTATTACGGGACCAGCGTTGTCTTGTATCTCCATCTTTGGTTATGCATATGCTGTTCGTTTTGATCATTAATTCAAAACCAATATATGTTTCTTTGTGAATTGGTTTTCTTCTAAATATGATGATCAGTAATATAGATCACACAGTGTCTTTACGACCATCATTAAGCAATTACAGGCGGGTTGAGCAAAACTCCAGTGGATGAAGGTAATGTATAATGAAGAAGGCTCTTAATCTAATAGAAGGCGGGTTGAGAACACCGAGAAAGAACACAATGTCGATTTTCTTTGTCATTAGTCTTTGATTAGGCATATGAGAGAGATCGAAGATGCAATGACTATAGAAGAAAGTTTGTTCATAAGAACTCAAGGAAGTTGAATTTTTATGGCATCTATAGAACTCTCCTACTCAAAATAGGAACATCTCGGTGCCTCCTTGGATACACTTGACCTTCTCAAATCTGTATCACTTATCTGACTTGCAACATGGCCTTCACCTTGTCCCTCGAACCAAAAGAACAACCGAGTCTCGTGTTTGATCTATATGCTCAGGAATCATTATTGAGTGATATTGCTAATAACACATGATCCTATAGTGTCACACCTTTATCTAGTTAACACATTTTATATATTTATTATTAATGTGATTATTAATAAATAATATCAATTTTTGTATTTAATTAGGGAATAATTATTATTTTTGTGAAAATAATAATTAAAGAGAAGACAAACTAGTTATTATATCATATGATATGATTAAGAAGTCATGTACAAAAGTTTTGGACACTTTGGCTAACCATGACTTAACTAGTTAATTGGTCTTATTTGCTTTGAGAAACTAGAAGACCATTTCTAAGAAACCTGGAAGGTGTTGTGAATCTGAGTGAGTTCCTCAGGCAATTCCAACCAATAAGCTACCCTGTGAATCTTGGCAATCACTCAAAACGACCCATTATATCAGGGCCCCAACTTGCCCCGCTTACTGAAGCGTATTACACCCTTCTAGGGTGATACCTTTAGTAAAACCATATTGCGGACCTGGAACACCAACTCTGACCGACATCTGTCAGCATAACTTTTCTGCTACTATGAGCTGTCTGCAACCTCTTCCTAATCTTCTAAATGAACTTTGTCTTTTGTAGAATTACTTTGGTTTTCCCCTTGACCTCGTGGCCAATCTCTCCCTAACAGAATGGGGTATGACACTTCCTCCCATAAAGAAGCTCAAACGGCGACGCACCGATACTGGAGTGATTGTTGTTGTTATAAGAAAACTCAGCTAGAGGAAGGTAAGAGTCCCAATTCCCACCGAAATCTATGACACAATCCCTCAACATATACTCAAGTGACTGAATGGTCCTCTTGCTCTGGTCATCAGTCTACGGATGATAGGCAGTGCTAAAATGTAACCTCGTGCCATGTTCCTCGTGGAACCTCTGCCAAAATCACGAAGTGAACCGAACATCCCGATCTGATACAATAAAACCAGGAACACCATGCCGGGCAACAATCTCACGCACATACACATCGTCCAATTTCTCGGCCAAGGAGCTATCCCGAATAGCTAAGAAGTGGGCACTCTTGGTCAGACGGTCCACTATTACCCAAATCTCATGAAACCCCTTAGCCGTACAAGGTAACTTGGTGATGAAATCCATTATGATATGTTCAAATTTCCACATGGGAACCTCCAAAGGCTGAAGCTTGTCATGCAGCCTCTGTTGCTCGGCCTTGAGCATCCGACAGGCCAAGCAAATCTCAACATAACATGTTATCTCCCTCTTCATGCACGACCACCAATAACTTAGTCGCAAATCCCGATACATCTTGGTGGCTCCAGGGTGCATCCAAAAATCTGGACTTATACGCCTCCTCTAGCACAGTCTGCCTGATCCCACCAAAATCTGGTACCCCAACATGGCAGCATCGGGTCAACAATCCGCGACTATCGTTAGAAAACCTATCGATCTCACCCCTGATTCGCTCATGTTTCCAATTCTCCTTGTTGACTCCCTCAGCCTGAGCCTCCTTAATAAAATCCAATGGTGGTGAAACAATCAAAATCCTCATGCATAAGCTCCCAACAGAAGAACCAGCCGAATTGCGGCTCAAGGCATCAACAACCACATTCGCTTTCCCCAGATGGTACACAATTTCGCAGTCATAATCCTTGGTCAAGCCACCTACGTTGTCTCGTATTCTCATTTGGTTGATCCATGAGATATCTCAAACTCTTGTGATCCATGTAGATGGTACATCAGACACCATATACATAATGCCGCCAAATCTTGAGAGCGAACACCACTGCTCCCAACTCGAAATCACGTGTCGGATACCGAACCTCATGCGGCTTCAGTTGCCTAGAAGAATACATAATAACCTTCCCTTGCTGCATAAAAACTGCCCCCATACTAGTGATGGAAGCATCACAATAAACAACAAAATCGTCAACACCCTTAGGAAGGGTGAACACTGGGGCCTCACATAAGTTCTGCCTCAGTGCCTCGAATGCAGCCTGCTGCTCAGGCCCTCAACGGAAATCCACGTCCTTGCTCATCAAATGAGTGAGAGGTACAACAACCTTAGATAAATCCTGAATGAATCTCTAATAATACACTGCTAATCGTAGAAAACTCCTGATCTCCGAAGGAAACTTCAGGAACCTCCCACTACATAACAGCCTCAATATTAGCCGGGTTGACCAGAATCCTATTCTGGTTAATGAGGTTTCCTAAGAACTGGACATCCTGTAACCAAAAGTCACACTTCGAGAACTTGGCATATAGTCGTTCCCGACTCAGAACTTCCAATAGCTCTCTTAGGTTCTCATCATGTTGATCCCTGGTCTTGGAATAGACCAACATATAATCAATAAAAACAATGATCAGTTGATCGAGCATCGGCCTGCACACTCGATTCATTAAGTCCATGAATTTTGCATGTACATTGGTGAGCCCAAATGGCATCACCATGAACTCGTAATGACCATAATGAGTCTGAAACATTGTCTTCTCCACACCTTCCTCTCTAACCCTCATCTAATGATACCTTGACCTCAAATCGATATTGGAGAACCAAGATGCACCTTGTAGTAAATCGAAGAGATCATCAATCTATGGAAGTGGGTAACGGTTATTCACCGTTAACTTGTTCAACTCTCTATAATCAATACACATGCGGTGAGACCCATCCTTCTTCATCACAAACAAGATCAGTGATCTCCATGGCGAACTACTCTGTCTGATAAACTGCTTTCCCAACAGCTCCTGAAGTAGAGATGACAACTCCTGCATCTCTGGTGGTTCTAATCGGTACGCCGCCTTAGCAATCG